CAATATTTGTTGGAACTCTTTGAGCTGATTCAAATGATTTGAATATATTTGTTGACAATTGACATTTTTGTTTTCGTGCTCTTTTAATGTAAGTTAAATCTACCTGATTCTATATTCTTTAATTTCGGTCTTTCTCTCTCTCTTTAGTTTCAAACTATTTTTCATTTACAAATGTTCACTAAGGAGATATAAATAAAATCGATTTTGATTGAATTTATTTATTATTAAATTGAATTATTTTGAATAAAATTGATTGTGTGTACGATTGAGTGAGATTATGAGTTTTTATTATGATAATATGTAAAATATAATGATTAAAGTTGAGCGGATGTAAATAAGACAGAAGTACTTGAAAATAATAGCAGGAAAAAATATGTGAGTTGATAAATACTGAATTAAAATTAATGTGATGATGATTGACTAGTATTATTTAATTATATAGATAATATTGAGTAGAGTTGAGTTGGATTTGTAGTAAAAGAGTATTGTAGAAAATTATCGGATCAGTCAAAATCAATTATATTTTGTAGACAATTGCAGCCTAAGTGTACACAGCTATACTCCCTACTTTCATATACAATTTTAATGTTTTTAAATAATATAAATAAAAATATGATATTTCACTGTATGAAGTTTTGTTCATGAAATGTGATGGGTCGACTCATTTTAATCGCTAAGATATCTCACACAATAGATTGTAATTTTTTTTTCAACTTTGTTTAGATTAAATTATTACATCTTTATAAACTTTTTAGTAGTATGGTGGAATTAGAGTTATATTTTACATACATATGGTAATTGAATTCTTTCTTTGATCATATTGCAGCATGACAAGAACTCTATCAAGATATGAACAATACACTTATTCAGACAAGAAAAATGGAACCAATTGTGATGATCTCAAGGTACCAATATTATACCAATATTAGGAGTTTNAGCTATTTGCCATAATCTAAACGTGCATTTCCTCTTCTCATTTTTTTTTTTCTATTTTTTTTCCTATAAAGCTTTAGATTATTTTCTTTCTACAATTAATGGTTACTTCTTAAGTATATCTATGTAGGCAAATTCGATTCTACGTGTAATTTTAACAGACATGATTGTGTGTTGATTTTAACGGTAAAAAAATTATACTAAGTTCGAATTTTCGGTCAATATTTTATGTAGAAAAATTGGTACCTTGAACATCCCAAACTCATGGCTCGTGTCGAACTCTTACAGAGAAATACGAGGTAATTCTCTATATATGTTGACCAATATATCACATCCTATATATGTCCTATTTTAAATAATATTGCAATTAGTCTAAGAAAAAAAGATTTGATTTTTCGAGCCATGAATAAATTAAGTGCATATACAATGGTTAAATGCAGGAACTATGCGGGTCAGGATTTGGATCCCCTGAGCATGAGAGAACTACGCAGTTTGGAGCAACAATTAAATAGTGCTCTAAAACGAATTCGCACGAAAGAGGTAAAATTTAAATGAACAAAAATGAGTAGATTTATTATTTATTTATTTTTTTAAAAATAGAATTGCAAATATATGCTAAGTAATTTAGGGTAGATATTGGTGATTTTGTTCACTAACTTTCGAGATACTGATAAAAATCGAGCACAATATGCAGAATTTTTTTTTCAAAAACTACCCATTAACTCGAAAGATTGGGAAAAAATGTTACTTAATGAATTTGTAAATTATCTTAAATCCTACTAGACATACTTGACAATTTTATTTTATTTTATTTTATTTTTTTTAATTATTATCTAATTTATTGCTTAACTTGGCTTTGTTTCTTGAACAAAAAGCAGAATCAACTTATGGAAGCATCCATTTCAGAATTTCACAAAAAGGTGACTCCATTAAAAATTCTGTTATTTATTTCCCCCTTACATGGGTATAAATTAAACATGCAATTAATATCAAGTAGATATTTTTGAAACTAGCTTCATCATGTTATTCAAAATAAGTTACAGAGGTATTTTAATAAAACAAATTTATTGACCTCTTAACATATTGATTAGTAAGTAAGATGGTGTTGGTCAGGTCTAATGGTTAGAAATTCATTTATGTCATATTTTTAAATACAAAAAAAAAATGTATATTCCGAGCATAATTATTCATTTTTATTACAAAAAGTATAGCATGTCAACTCAGTTGTCTCAAACAATAACTTTAATTAATTATTGTAATGGTTTTGTGAGTACAAGTGTGATCTTATGATTTGTCTACGTTTTTATTACGATTTAACAATATTAATCTAATTAAATATTACTACCACAGGCGAGAACAATGCAGGATCAACACAACAAGTTAGTAAAAGAGGTAAAAATAAATAAAAAGTTAGAAATTACCATAACCATTTTTAAGTCGTGTTTGTAAATTGTAAGAAACTGACTCGATTCTTAACTACGTGGTGTTATTGTCTGAGAGGATCTGAAGGAAAAGGCAGCGCTGCAAAGAGAGAGTTTACCTCAAAATGCATCGCAGGGGATTTTATCAACTGTTGGGTAAAAAACTGTTTTTCACTGTAATGATGAATTAGCGGCTTCTTTTTAGATGTTTTATGATTTTCCTTATGTAGGAAATTTTTTTACTGTAGGAATGAGTTTTTGGTTTAACTGATGCTCAAGAAAAAAAAAAAAATAAATAAATAAATAAAAATATTTAAACAAACAAATTGCCATATCTGCTAATTTGTTTTGGCTATTTAATTGAAATAAAAAAGAACTTTTTTCATGGATAATTTAGAGGATTTCAATTTGTTGGATAATATATTATTTTTCTATGTTTTATCCATATTTTGCTCTGCTAACTAATATACTAAATATTGCAGTAATGAAAGTACGAACCAAACTCACCGGACGGAATCCAACACCGGCATTCCACGGTGGTTCCTCAGCCATAAGGACCAAATGTAACAAATCAAGTCACAATCCAAACCAAAGAGAAATTATTATTATTATTATTATTATTATTATTATTATTATTATTATTATTATTGTTGTTGTTATCATCATCATCGTTGTTTAAATGTTGCGTACATGATGAATAATAAGAAGTATTTGATTAAGTGTGTGATATTCATGCATGCAAGGATCTTCAATTATCATCATTAGGTTTCAACTTTGATACATAATATATGCCTTGCAATTATATAAAATGACTAGAATTACGAAGGAAAAAAACACGGAAGATTGGATGAATAGAAATTAAGGACAAGATGAATCTATCTATAAAATTTTAAATTAAACATTAGACCACCTAGTATCAGAAGTAGAATTTGATATTTGAAAAATCTCCTATAAAAAATATNGGTTCTAAGCCTCTTGGGTATTTTAGAAAAGAGCCTATACATCCTCGACAAATCCTCTACCTAACGCATAAATAATTAATAAAGTTTAGATTTATGAAAAAAAAAAAAAAAAAAAAAAAAAAAGAAGAAAAGAAGAAAAAGACTTCACTGTTACTCATGGTGGTATTAGATTTATGATAATTTCAGTTCAAAATCCTCATAGCCTCATTGAGTAGCTTTAGCACAAAGAAACTTTTTCAAATTAGTATCAGCTCAAACACTTTATAATAAACCAGCAAAAAGAAACATTTTCAAATTAGTATAGCTCAAACACTTTACAATAAAATAATTGAGTTTCTCAACTAGTTCTATTCAAAGCAAGACATCCAAGGCCCCGTTGGATCAACACACGCCTATTTGTTTGTGATCCAATGATGTATTCGGCACATAATAATAAAATCATTCGAGACCAAGAAATTCTTCTGTAGACACAAATTCAACTGACTGACCTGTCCTTAGGGAGGCTCGTTCACTGGCCGAAGAGCAACTGAAGAGGACCTTAAAAACTTGTCTTGTCGAGTTCATTATTTAGTAGTATTTATTTTTATTATGTAATATATGTAGCAGTAAACACGAAACTACTATCATTCAAGTGCCATGGCAAAAAGCTTCGGAAAAATATATTCCATGTTTCAAGAAAAATTATGTAATACATTAACTGATGGTACTTTATGCTCTCAACATTATCAGCATATGGAGAAAAGCATTAATTCTTAAAGAAAGAAAGATGTATGTATGTACAATGGCTTTACACTTACTGCATTTCCTCTTATTTTGTATCTATCTATATATCTATAGGTGGGTTTTGGTTTCATTCACGACTAGAATCACACGAGAACCTCGTGGATTCATGTCAAGGCGTCTCGTCAAATGCCATCACCTATGAATATAAACAAAAAAAGGGTATCAGATAAGAAGTAGAAAGTAATAATTTGAAAAAACTAAGCTGGGATATTATATTATTCAACTTGTGTTGGTAGTGATGGAGCTTGAAATGAAGTTAGAGAACCGAACTACTTAAATTTCTCTTTGACTCATAATAAACGTCTATATAAGAAAAAAATTGAAAAAAAAAATGTGCAAGGACAGAGATTATATTTATTTCATAATAGTAAAAGGATGTAATATACAAAGTTATCTTCAAATAATATCTAACTAACATAATATATAGGAAAAGGATCTGTTACCTGACCACAGACTGGGCAGTTATCACTTCTTTCCATCCACTCGTATATACAACCAAGATGAAAATGGTGACAACATTTTGTATTTATTTTCGGATTCTCCACAGTATATTCTGCAAGATGAAAAATGCTCAAGAAAGGTGTAAAACTAAATCCTGATCAAATCAGTAATTTACTCAAGCAAGAACAAAAACCCTTGTTTTACAATGTTCCATAAGATTCAGTTACCGATTGAAACTTGTTCGGAAATTGCATAAGCTACCCTCTCGGAATATTCACCAAAAAGTCTAGATAAGTTTGAGGATTACATAATATTCCCTTATAGTTATATTCTTTCTTATACTTTCAAAATCACAAGCAAAAAAAAAAAAGACGGAGAACCAATTTAGCTCCGATAAAATATTATAATTAAAGATTGAATCCATCCTCAGGGTTTGTTCCAAAAATCTTGAAAATAACATCAGTTTCTTCTGCCAATCGCACCAAAACCGTAGGGTTAGCTTAAGTAAGTTATCCGTATTCAGTTCTAATAAACGTCATATTACTTATATACCTTCAAGACATGTGGGGCAAACATCTTCGTCGTCCGAGGAAGTATAAATATGAGAAAACCCCGTTTCGCCTTTTGCCGACGAAAGCTTGATCGACAATCTCGAATTATACTCTTTTGATTCATCTTCATCACGCATAAACTCGTTCCACTTCTTACTTTTGCCACCGAAAGACTCCGATTCGTCATCATCAGCCTCGATTGTCCTCAGTGGTTCGGTCTCGTCGTGCGAATGGCTCGAACCTTTGTCTCGTCGTGAGACGAGCCCACGCTGAAGGCGAAAATATCTAGTGTCCGCATCATATGGGAGGGGCCTCGGGGGAGAACGGTACATGTCAGCAAGGGAATTGTCGAGGGAGGTCATGGGTGTGACAGATGTCGTGCTCTGATTGGATGAGGTTAAGGAGTGGTGGTCTTCGCCTCTGTGAAATAGTGAAACGTACTACAGAATGCAAATAATTAACATAATCAGGATGAGTTTTTGAATAATGTATTGAATATGGTGTGTTTTGAAATGCTAAATTAAACTGCAGCCATATATCCGGTAAGCAATTCTGTTCCTAATTTGAGGGTTCCCAAACTGGTTTTCGAAAAAGTAAATACATTTTGGTTAGGTTGACTGCCATTTGAACGAAAAATACATAAATCCAAAACAGAGCAGAAGAAAATACTGTATTTAGAATAATTTATTCTCCTTTTTTTTTTTTTTCNATTTTTTTTTTTTTGCGGCTTTGGAAGAATCATATAAATCTATAGATTTGGAATGTAAGTGATTAACTCAAAATTCCCTTGACTTGAACCCACCAGCTAAATTAGATAAATTTCCAGTTTGAGTCCAGCAAAGCCAGCATAAAGGTTAACAATATGATAGAGATAACCAAGTTGAAAACAGTACACTAATATAGAGCATACAGCGGAAGTTTGCAACAAACACTTGCAGATGTTAAAGTCTTGCAATAACTATAACACACAACGGACAGGAAAACAGAAGGTGCCTAAATAAAACTTGGAACAACTCAATAAATTGCATCGCAGCATACCATATGCATGAAATTCTGAATGAAGCAACGGAGGCATATACAGTTCCTATAAATCGAGCTGTTTGGATTGGTGAAGTCTTCACATTCATCCCTCAAACAGCAACAAGCAGAGCCCATTGTCACCGATTCCACAATTAGCCCAAGAACCCACCCTTTAGTCTAATGATAGAGAACAAGTTCAAGTCGAAAGAAAAATAACTTCAGAAAACTCATCCATATGCCGAAACATTCAAATCAAATTTCCAAACCCAAAATTAACTTAATTGCAGTGAGAGAGGATCCCAAGACCAGCACCCCCTCTCAGACAATAAAACGAGTCCCAGGCGCCTTTTTTACTGTGGGGAACCTTAAGCAATTTGTAAAAACCTGCGAGAATAAAATAAACTCTCATGATCATAATGGAGAAAAAATGTCAATCAACTGTCTCTAGAAAAAACATAAATTAATAAATTGCAAGATTATAGCTTAGGTGACTGGTGAGCACAGATAACAAAAATACAATTTCATCAAAGCTGAAGGTAGGCCATCGAATGGTTCGATCCTACCTCAGTGGACACACACACACACACACACCCGTGTGGGTGTGTATTGATCGGACGGTTAAACCACACGGGGTGGGCTGAAATTCATGGAAGTCCATCATAAAATCCTCAATTCGAAAACATTAATGAAAAAAGTATGAATCTTTACTGTTTCTTAAACATCAAGCAAATAAGCATTCACCTAATTTATCGAACGAAAACAACCTAGGTTAAATTGAATTCCCAAGAAAACCCATAAAAGCACTCAATCGATTCATCCAACAGAGAGAGCCCGTTTCTCAATTACACGACTGTTGGTAAACCCAACCCAGCAATCAATCGAAAAATCGAGTAAAAATATGATGAAATGAAACTAAATATTTTGTGCAAAACATCAGATTTTGATTAAGGCAAACGCAAATTTGCTTACCAATAGATAAACAGAGATGGCTCTGGGGAAATTATCGAGGTGATACGGTGCAGAGAATAGTGTCTCTATCTCCGCAAATTTTATTTATTTATTTATTCCTAAAAAGATGAAGCTATAAACCTTTTCGCCGTCTATTTTGGTTGTGCCGCTGATTTTGTTGGGGGCAAAAAGACGCGTTGATGAGACGCGCTCTCCATCACGGTGGTGGGTGAAAGTTGATAAAAGGGTGATTGATTGGGATACAAATATTAATTCAAGAAATAAATAATAATGATGATGATTGAGTGAGAAAGATAATCAACCTATATTAATCTAACATAAATATTTAATGAAAAATGTTGATATATTATGATGCATAGTATAGTAATTAATGATTTTCAAACTAAAATTATACGATTTAATAGAATGGGCATTGTGTGCTTCAAGTTAATTAGGTGAATCATAACAATAATGCTTGGGTAATAATGTCAATTTTGATATGAAGCCAACAGTTAGCTCCACAGTAGATTCAACCTTTTATATACAATAAGTAAATCATACTATATTAAAATAAAAATTAATAATTTTATTAATATGATATGGTTACTTGTTGTATATAGAACGTTGGCTCCATAGCAAAACTGTATAATGTGTAGCCTAGTATTGATATTTGATGTCGTCTAATGCATGGAATATTAAATATTGTTAAATTATTTAAGATAATATATCGAGTCTATTCGACACAATATATAATAATATAAAATTTTGTTAAACATATTTTATCATTTTAGTTTTTTACAAATTGTATATTTTATTAATGTGGAATTTGATATAGATTATATAGGTCCCGTTTGGTAGATAGCGGATTGAAGATAAATTAGCGGATTAGATTTAATTGAGAGGTTTGACCCGTCAAATCCGCTATTGAGTTTGTTTGGTAAATAGCTTATTTGATAAGCTTTTTGGGCCCAAAACTCTAATTTAGAAAAAGCTCATTAGAGCAGCTTTTTGGGATAGAGGATTCACAGTTGAGAGATTTTACTTAGAACTTTTATTTATTTTATAATTTACATTGGTTTATAGAGCTAATAAATAATAATATGTCATCCATATGATTAATTTATCTAGAAAAATGTAAAATTCATAACTTCTTCATCAAGTGTTAGTAAATTTAAAAAAATATATATATATTTATAAATTACCAACTAAAGAATATTAAATATTTTAATATATTATTATTAAAAGAATACACCCTAAATAATAAAATGTCCTTATTGATCATTTTGCAATGTCAAACAGCTATAAACTTTCAGCTATTTACCAAACACTTATTTAAAAACCGCTAATGCAATCCGCTGGTCAAATCAGCTAATATAATCCGCTATCCGCTATCTGCTGATATAATCCGCTATCCGTTATTCGCTATCCGCTGATCGCCAAACAAGGCCATATGAAAGTTAATATATATATATATATGTGAAATTTATAATTATCGATTTTACACTGCTATCGAAATAATAATTATGTTAATATATATTTTAATTCATCAATATCATTAGCAAAACAAATGATATAAACAATGAAAATTTAATTTTTTTATGTTGAATAATACACTATAAAGTTGACGGTATTATTTTTACTGATATTTAAAATCATTCATTAGCAAAATCATTCGTTTGGTCGAATAAACTTTTATTCGAGAACATTCCCTTGATTTATAGAAACATGAAGACAATTAGTTTCAAACTGTTGTATTGATATAAATTTCTTTACCTTTTGAAATGCTTCTCATGCTATATCATAAAATAACTAAATGGACATCTGAATCTGTGAAGGGATTTTTTATTTTATTTTTTATTTTTTTTTTTCTTTCCAATTTCATGAGGTTTTGGTTGTCTAAAAGAAGGTATGGTTTGGGATTAATGAAGAGTAAATAGCAATGTAACATAAGCATAATACATCAATTAGCAAATTAAAGAAAAATATGACAATAGCCACCAAATATGGTCTGTCATAAAAGACCGTAAAAGAAATATGTACATTGGAACATATTAAAATTTACGAAGTGATGATTTTTCTTTTTTCAAGATCTATACAATTATTCTGCCTTAATAAGAAAAATGAAAATTAACGTTCGATCTGCAGATTTTGCATGGCTCGTCGATCTCAAGCTCGAGCAATGAAGAAAAAAGTTCGATTTACGCTTGACAAGGTCCATGCTCGACTCGACTCGATTGCAGCCCTACTTAGAACGTGCAAGCTATTTGTAAACAGAATGACCTTTTAATCATTAAATAAATTTCAATCTCATATTCAACCAAACTATATGAAAACTGCAACAAGAAACTATTCTCTATTGACATTCTTTGCAAAAAAACACTGTTTGAGAATCATTTACATCATAGGGAGTAACAACATTACTAACCGCTGTAAATATAGTGTTCATCCATTTACCCTCTCGTCAATGCTACTCATTCTTCCGATTTCCATATGCTGTATTTCAATCCGGCTCACGACTCGTGAGAAATCTCCACTGGCAAATGAAATTGACCCTTCTTTGACTAAACGCCTCTGTAATATCCTTGAGATTGCTTGGGAAACTTCACCAATCGAAGGGCGTTTTCTTGGTCTTTGGTGCAAACACTTGTGAGCAATTTTCGCTAAATTCCTCACTTCTTCAACATTGCATGTCCCGACAATCTTCGTGTCGATTATCTCATCCACACCGTCTGGACTCATAGCCGCCTTACGAAAATTCGAGGAAAAAACAAAACATTATGGAAAGCAGTTTGTTAGCTAAGAAAATAAAATATAATCAATTCCATCACAATTACCTATGTTTTTTTCCTTGTTACAAAATAATAACAATTTAATGGCACAAATGCATTTTTAGTCCTATTGGTTTAAAGTCATAGCAATTTTAGTCTCAAGATTCCAACTTTTTATCTTTTGGTCTTGGAATTTAATATTTTGATATTTTTGCCACAAGACCAAAATTGCAGCAAAATATTAAATTACAGATTTAAATTGCAACGTCATAGCAATTTTAGTCCAAGATTCCAACTTTTCACCTTTTGGTCTTGTAATTTAATATTTTGATATTTTGCAGCAATTTGAGTCCCAAAAGGACTGAAATTGCAGCAAAAAAATTAAATTGCAGGACTGAAATTGCAATAAAATTTTAAATTACAGGACTTAAATTGCTATAAAAAAATCTGGGAATTTGGAAATTTGATGCAATTTCAGTTCTCAAATGACTGAAATTGCAGCAAACTACTAACCCACATGACAAAAAAAGTGCAATGTTGGAACCTTGTGACTGAAATTGTTGTGACGTTAAACCAGGACTAAAATGCAATTTTGCCAACAACTAATATAATGAATTAATCTCTGTGTTCTATACAAGAACGTTTTTTAAAAAAATAAATAAGTAAATTACTTCTTGGAAAAAGATTGGATGGGAGAATAAATCAATGAATGCGCTTACAAGATTGACGTATTCTAACAAGTTTTGGTGCGGGTGAATGGAGGTGATGATCTCAAAGAGAATAATGCCGAAGCTGTAGACATCGCTTTTTTCTGTGAAATTGCTCGTTGATATGTACACGGGATCTATGTATCCGTATGTACCTTTCAAGCCTGAACTGTGACCATCAAAAACTCGTTCTTTCGAGAGCCCAAAATCGGCAACCTAGTAAAAAATTGTTTTTTTTTTCAAACTTAAAAATCAGGCAAGAGAAGGAAAATCGAATAGCTCTGTTGTGGTGAAGTATCGAATTATTTATGCTTACTTTTGCTCTCATGGAATTATCGAGCAATATGTTGGCAGACTTCAAATCTCGATGTACAACTGGAGGCACTGCCTGTCCCAAGGATTTTAACAGTTTGAACAATGTATTTCCTTATTAAGAAAAAAAAATGGAAAAAAAATAAAAGGAAAAGAAAATTATATTAATTATCATATAATTCAGATTTTTTACCCCGTCGTGAAGATATTCAATGCCATGTGAAATGTCAAGCGCGATCTGGAGTCGATCTTCCCAACTCAAAACTCGTTCGTCATCTATATGCCACATATATTTTAACTTATTTTTATTAGTCTAAAAAAAATTACAGAAAGAGTTAACAAGATGCTTTACAGAATAAATAGAAGTGACCAAAAAAAAAAGCTCAAACACATTTCTTCACCATTCAGAGGCTAGAACTACTAATAACTTCAAACACAATTTTTTTCTTCAGTGCGAACGAACATAATCTTAATAGCAATAGCTCAAAGCATCTTAACTTACAAACTTACTGTATAGAAGGTTTTCCAGGCTTCCATTGCTCATGTACTCATAAACCAACATTCGTTGCCCTTTATCTACACAATATCCAACTAAATTCACCAAATTTCGATGATGCAGCCGAGCAAGCAAGGAAACCTGTAAGGAAGAAGGGAAAAAAGTATAAAAAAAATAATGGTATAATAACTAAATTTCAATAAATAAATAAATAGTATATAATAACCAAAATCATGGAAAGTATCAAGAAATAACTATTATGAAGCATTCCATTTTCTTTAAGTTGACCGAAGTTCAGTATGATTGCTTTTCCTATTTTATGTGGTTTCTTCATCTTTGGATTTTTTTTTATATTTCGTTTCATATTGAAATACTTCTTTCTCAACAGATTAAAGGAATCAAGTTTATATAGTGTTGATAGCGCATAACACCACATCATAGAAGCCAACTGCAAAACTTGGGACATTCGATTCGACCAGAGATTGTAATACGCTAATCTACCGAGTATTGTTCATCTATTTACTGTGCAGAGCAAAAAAAAAAAAGCACGGGCATTTATATATTTAATTTTCTATACCTCCGTCTGAAACTCTTTCTCCCCTTGTTTCGAATTCGAAGCAAGAACTTTCACAGCAAACACCTCGCCAGCTGGCATGGTAGCTTTATACACGGGTCCAAACGAACCCTGTCCTAGAATTGCAGTGAAGTTCCCTGTCCCCTTCTGAATATCCCTGAATTATGAACACACACGTTAACATAAAAGATGCAAACTTTATTAAAAAAAAGAAAGAAAAAAAAATAATAAAAGGATCACATACTTGTAATTGTATCTCAATATACCCGAAGCAGAAGCAAGCGGTTCTTTCCTTTGCATGGTCCACCAAGAATTTCGAGGCTTTGGGTTAATATAATACGATTCGGTCACATTCAAAGACTTAGAAAGAGAGGCACTCGAGTCGATGCTTGCATTGAGGCCGTTGGGGCGAATCGGGAGAGTGGCAGCCGAGCCATCGGCTGTGCACCGACTGAGCCGCGTGCGTTTTCTGTACCAACAGATGGCGAGGAACACAATAGTTGCGGTGAGTACCCCCACAGCTAATCCAACCGAGATGCCAATAATGACGAGATCGGCCCTACGAACCATTCTTTTGTACTGCTTTGTTAATTGCAATGGAGATTAGGGACATCTTGAAGGAAACGTGTCGTGATCACTGTGATAAAGCACCAAAACCAAATTAAATATTTAAGAGGAAAAAAAAAACGAGATGCTCTTGGTAAGGGAAAATGTACGAAATGTATGTCTGAATACAAGCTACAAGCCAAGTTCTATCAACATTAGACAGTACTTGCAGCTCAAGATGCAGGTGCTATTGCTCATACTTAGAAAGGTTGCTAAACACACACACACAATCATTTGCAGAACGTAAATACGTAAATAGATATGGGTAAACAACTCAGATTCTGTCTCCATTATCATTATTGGACAAAGAAAATAACCAAAGCTAAAATCAAACCAAAAATGAAAAATAAATAACTCGAAACTCGAAATGTGTCCTGTATTTCGACAGAAACCAAGGAAAACATCCCTGATCAGCTTTTTCCAGAAAAACGAGTCATTTCAAAGAAAATTCACAAAAACTACAACCAAAAGACACAAAGTTTCAGCAGTGTATCGAAAATCTGCTGCAGTTCAACATAGAAATTAGGGACATCTTGCAGGAAACTTGTCTTGATCACTGTAATTGAACACCAAAACCAGATGAAGTATTAAATAAATTTAAAAAAAAAAAAAGAAAAAAAAAGATGCTTTCAGTAAGTGAAATATATGAATTCTATGTCTAGATACAAGCCACAAGACAAGTTCCATCGAACATTAGACTGTAACTGTAGCTCAAAATACAAGTGGTATTGCTCATACTCGGCAAGGGTTTTGAACCTACACACACGTCATTTGCAAAACATAAATTTACAGACAGATTCAGTAAGATACCACATAGAAAGAAGGGTAAACAGCTCAGATTCCATCTCCATGAAATCATTAACAAGTCAACAAAAACTACCAAAACTAAAATCAACCCGAAACGACAAAAACCCAAAACTGAAAAGCTTGTCCTGTGTATTTCAATAGAGACCCAGAAAGAAAACATCAAGGCAATGATCTGAAAATAAACATAAACAAACCAAACCCTGATTAGCTTTTCCAGTAAAACGAGTCATTTCAAAGAAAACCCACGAAAAGTACAACCAAAAGATAAGAAATTTTCGGCAGTGTATCGAAATTCAGCTGCAGTTCAAACGTAGGAACTTACCTATTAAAGGAAAAGCGCATGATTCAAGATCAGTTTAGGGACTGGAAATTGGAACATCATTTGGGGGTGGGTGGGTTTAATAAAAGGTNATCAAATGACACATTTAAATCAGAAGATTGAACCAACCCCCTTGTCATCAATCACACACAAGGGGTACAAACTCCATCAAAGAGACGAACAACCACAAAACAGAACTCCAAAACATAGACACTAACTCTATATAAGAGAGAAAACCAGACACAGCTGCATTAAAAGCAGACATAGCTGCATTAAAAGCAGACAAGGCTGCACTAAACGAACAAAAAACACAAGAAAAAAAAAACAACTCGCACCTAATAAACAAAAATTGAATAATACCACCCATAAGCCTAGCAACCGAATCTCATGACCACCTAAACTGCTTACCAAGTCACACCCACAACAAGAACGCCAATGAGCAACAAAACTAGTCATCAAAACTGAAAACTGCGACATCTCAACCGCCTAGATGGATTTTCAGTCCAGATCTTACTCAGAAGAACATCCACATCGGGGGAGGAAATGAGAGCTGCCAAGAACTCGCATGAGGGCCCTAGACAAGGATCCGAAGAAGCACCCTCAGCAACATGAGTGGCCCAACCCGACGAATCAGCGGCTGACGAGACAACGCATCCCGGCTGGGCGCAACAGAGCAGGGACCTTGGATCCAAGGAGAAGAAAACAGCACAATATCGGGACCTCCGACGAAATGACTGTCTCCCGCGGTTGGGGCAGGAAAAAATATGGCCGGCGACCTCTCCGGGGCCGGGGGAAGGACTGGGAGGCGAAGCTCACCGCCGGCCATTACACTCGCTAGGATCCAGGAGGGGCACCCAGCCGCGACTCGACGAGGTCGGCCCGATGGGTACTGGGGTCGATTTGTCGGCAGAAGGAANCAGAGATGGTGTATTTTTGCGGGAAGAGGAAAGGGGATCTGAGAAGAGAGAGGGAGACAGAGGGTTTATAAATCACTGGCTTATTATTTAAAAAAGAAAAAAAAAATCACTGGCTTATTTTCATAAATGTGATGCTGCATAACATCTACAATGCATTGGGTCTAGTTTTGCGTATGTGACATGTAAAAAAAACTCAAGTCTTGGTTGACATGGATAAAACTTTATTAAATTAACAAAATTCACTCAAATGCAAAGAGATTGGGTCTCTACTTAGGGTATAAAATAGACTTAAGAGGAGACTGAGTCTTTTTTTTGCTGCCACATCAGTATGACACAGTCTACTTGCACTTGCATTAGAGAATATATATTTTTAGACTGAGTCTATTTCTTAGATGAGATATCAATTTTTTTAATTGAACCTAATGCATTGTAGATGCTCTAAGTTGGGTGGTGGTTTTATTCAAACTAGACTACTTCCCATTCGTGCTTTTTTAATATACATTAATATGACAGACTTAAAATTTTAAACAAGTTATTTGCAAATTAGTTCGGGTCGACCGTTTCATTTATAACCCATAAAAAATAAATAAATGAAAATGAGCTTTTTGCAACCAAGATTGACTACATGAGCTCGACTAATTATTTGGGTTTGACTTATTTAAGTAGATGAAGTAGTCGAGTTTACGTTTTCCCGTGTCGAATTGAGTGGTATTCTCGAATAACTCAATTCATTTAACAGTCTTCTTTTAGGTAGCGGAATGATTCATCGATTTTTTTGCAAATACTAAATATTTATATTGTTAAATGTCTATATTATCTTTTAAATATAATGTTCAATAAAAAATTTATAATTAAAAAACATAAATATTTAACAAGCATCCAAATTCAAAGCTGGAGTGTTTATACACTCTTCGTTCATTTTCTTTTTCAATACCATTAGTATAATTATAAAATAAAAAATCAATCATTATTATTGATTTCTATACATAGCTTACATATTTCTAAATACCTCATCACTATCAATAGTTTTTTGTTATTTATAATAAAAAATCTAAATATTATGTTTTATTATATATTCAATCACAATTTTTTTTTTTTTAAAAAAAAGCTTTTTTTTAAAAAGTAATTTTTCCTTCATTCTATTATTTAAAAAATAAATAAACAAGTCTATACCCAATTCCTACTTTCAAACCTAGTGATACAGCCTATTAATCGAGCGAAGTCAACTTGTATTATGCAAAATTTGTGCGAATTTTTCCTGTTTGCGCTTGTATTATTTCTTAATTTCTTAATGACATTGCCATTTCACATTATCACGCTAAGTATTAGTCTAATTATATGTTTTTTGTAGAGGATGATGATTAAGATGTTGAAATTTACTGGGTCAATTAGGAGGTCAACGGTTAAGTCAGCAGTGTCATTGTACAAGGCCCTCCACTATAATAGGAATAGTACACACATATATATCCTGTATCCTGTACTAAGATGTGATTAAGATTGGTTTTGGTCCCATTAATATGAAGATGCGGATGAGTGTATAATATGACCAATTTAGTAAATTTGGAACTTTTGAGCAAGTCTTTGCTTCAATAGATTATATATCTATATTTAAGGTGTATTTGTTTATAAATAAACTCGATTCATACTCAATTCATATTTAAAATTTTATTCAATTTTAACTCAACTCCACTATCTTCGATATAATTAATATAATTAAATAATATCAATTAGTCATTCTTATACGTCACATCAACATTAATTCACTATCCATCCACTCACATAATTTTAACTAATCATCATTTCATATCATTTATATTATACTTTTATCTCAAATCAACTTTAATAATTGTATTTTAAATATTAATTTAGTATAAACTCAAAATCTCACTAACAACTCTGTTGAGCGAATTTATTTGTATTCAAGCACGCCTTTATGCCACTAGAAGTATTTGTTTTTTTACGAATAATAATAACCTTAATAACCTATTCTCGTTTGTTTGTCCAAGTACTTGCCCGTGCGCTAACCAAAGATATCTCTCTCGAGTTTAGTCACCTCTAAGTTGTTTGAACTTAAATTTTAGCCATAAATACTAATCAATTCCAACATTTACAACCTATAATTAACTTCTCATTTATCATAAAAATATGTTTGAGGAATTTTCAAATTTTAAATTTGAAAGTATATAAATTTACCAAAAATGGAACTTCAACCAAACTTGATGCGTATCATTTTTACATATAAAAGTGCGTCTAATAATGCTAACAAAATTGTTTTGAGATCGTGATGTAGCGTTTTAAATTTTGCATTTTACTGAAAAAACATTAAATACTATCGTGACATCATACTTATGATATTATACTCTATTTCACGTTTCATATGCTATTTTCACGCTTAAAATGTCGAAAAGAATAAAACAATAGAAAAATAAACAACAATTGAAATTTGATATTTGTAAAGTAATCTCGAGCTAAATAATTTAAATTAAATTAACAAACAAAAAAACTACATCCACTGTTAAATTAAATTAACATTAAAAACTAAATTAACATAATATATTAAACTTTATCANATAAAAAAAAAAAAAAAACTTGTGGAATCTTTCACTGACTGAAAATTGTCAGCAATTTAATCCTAAAATTTATCTCGTTACCTAACTCGTCCAACTATGGGCCATTTTTTCTTCAATGATTACAGCTTTACATGCCCTGCTTTTTTTCAAGCTCATATAATTAATTATCTAAGTCCCCTCAATTTTCAATATTTTTCTCTCCAACCCTCACGTTGTGGGCTATTTACAAAGGGCCCCATGGGGCCCACCACTAAAGCACCCTCCATCCCATGCTGCTGTTGCCTTTTGAGGCTTTTTTTTAGCCACACCCTGCAAATCACGTGACGAACAACTCATAGCACGTGATTTCTTGTCTTAGCATCGCCGCCGTGAAAGTGTCCCACGCGCCACCGCCTATGCCGTCCAGACTCGATGGATTCAATTTTAATTAATATATGAATTTAAAATGGTGATTACGGTTGATAATTATTTTTCCTTTTGATTTTTACAAAATGAATGATAGCATTATTTGTAATTATGTAGAATCAATTGCAACCTTTTGGAAATTAAATTTTATTTAATATAGCAACAATATTTAATTTATTTATGTTTTCATATAATTATGAACACATCAAAATTTAAGTTGGGACTTTTTAGTAATGGAGGGATTAACTAAAAAGACAAATTTGTACAATTTTTATGCCATACATAACAAATTAAGCATTAGAAAACATTAGTGAATAGACACTTGCTAGTAATCAAATCGGCCTGCGTAAAGTAATTCCTCAGTCTCTGCAATTTATATACACAGTAAAACCTAACTTCTGATTTTACAGTTGGCCTCCTCTCCAGTGGGGCGCTTCGCGTCGCCCCGATGCTACCCGCCATCGAACCGTGCTCTCGGTCTCCCTTCGCAACGTGGGCCTCTTGTTCGGGTAATGTCTTGATGTTGCGTTGCACGCGACTTACCGTTTTCTCGAGGTGGTTTTGACGTGGCTGGCGGTTTGCTTCGATTACCACCTTGCACTGGTTGGAGCCGAGATTAACTCCCTCTTTCTTCATGTTTCTCTGCCTTCATTGGAGTTGGGCAGTAGGTTTTCGCCGGTGGAGGGGGGTCGTGGCTCCAGAGGCTTGGCGGCTGAGGCTGCTGGTTGACCTTTGGGGTTGGCGGTGGGCTGCGCTGGTGGTGTGGGTCATTGGCTTCGGTGGCTTGTCGGGCTCTGGATACTGGTTGGTGTGGGGGTAGGTGTTTGAGGTTGGTCTCTAATTTATGGTCCGGGGGTTGTCTACTTGGGAGAGATTTCATGTCTGAGGGTCGAGTCTTGTTAGGCGTTGTTATTGCAGTTTCAGGTTCGACGCCTTGGATTGGGTCTCTATCCTGGTGGGTGGTTGCCCTCTAGGGTTAGTGTTGTGGACCTTGTGGTTTTCTATGGAGTAGATTATCAGTTGTTGATGAGGGCTTTAGTTTAGCTGTTTAGTTTTTCTATAGTTGTTTCCTGTGTTGTTTTGTAGTTGTGTGTTGTGCTTTTCTTTATTCTAATCTTTAAGAGCGTGTATTCTTCCATTTGAGAGTTTGTATTCTCCACTTGTGAGATTTTTTTGATTTTTTCATGTTGTGTTGTGGTATTTAAATCTAAATGAG